AGCAGAAAGTCTTTATGAAAGACTTACAAATGATCAATAAGAACATGAATAGTTACCCAACATTCTTGGTCATTAAAGGCAAACTTAAACCACAGTAAGATACTATTACACAACTTCTAAAGTGGCAATAATTTTAAAAAGTCAGACAAGACCACTACTGACAAGGATTTTGAGAAACTGAAGCTCTCATGCGTTGCTGTTAAGAATATAAAATAATAACTTCAAAAAACAATTAATATCATCTTGTGATGGTAAATACAACCTTACTACACAATGAACTCATTCACTTTACTCTTAGAAACCTATTGAAGAGAAATTAAACGTTTATCTGCACAAATATTTGTATATGAACGCTCACAGCAGCATTATACTTAATAGCCCAAAACTGGACAAAATCCAAATGCTAGCTAACTGATGAATGAACAACAAAATACAGTAAACTCAGACAATGAAATACTATCCAGTGATTGAAAGAACCAAACTACTTGTATATGTGACAGTACTAATGAAATTCAAAAATGTTATGCTAAGTAGAAGCCAGATCCAAACATTATGAACCACTTATAAAATTCCCAGACATGCAAATTTGTACAGAGTTCAGAGCCATAGTTACCAAAGAGGCAGAACCACTGCAAATGTGTGGGACAGAAATTTGGAGGGAGAAGAAAAAGTTCTAAGACTGGATTGTGGTGACGGTTGCACAATCCTGTAAATGTACTAACAATTGATAAGTGAAAATATGGAGTATAAATTTTATCTCATTAAAACAGCTGTAAAGGTGTGTTTTTAATTAATACAGGTAAAGAACCCTGCATTTAATGGTGACTAGATCTCTTAAATGTTTATCTTTTCTCTTGATTAAATAAATTAAGTGCAAAAGTAGGTTGTTGAAGGCTGGAGAAGGGTAATGGAAGAAGGATTTCATAGAATGGATGTAGTACAAAGTTTAGTGTGTCTCCAATAGAGGGGATTTCGGTTTGGCTGATGAGGACCAGAAATTGAAGATCTTGAATTCCAAGTGATTTTTTGTCCTCCTAACTCCCATACAGCTGGTGCAGGGCACATTTTTCCTGTCCTCACCCCCAAACTCCCAGATGTGGTTCCAATATTATACAGCACAATAGGGTCCCTGACGTTTAGAACAATCTGTAGTACACGAAGAACTAGCAGAGAGGGATTTGAAGGCTCTAACCACAAAAATATAATAAAAAGCTGGCAATGCTAATTATCATTATCTACATTATATACTTGCATTGAATTGTCTCTCTGTACCCAAGTTTGTACAGTTATTACACCAATTGAAAAGAAAACAGTCTATGGTATTGATTAGTTAAATTGTTAACCACACCAAAATATTACATTTATGCATAAATCATGAATATATATTTTTAGAAATTGTTATTCTAAAAAGAATCATATTTTTAAAAACTTCTAAAATTGCATCATTTTAGGAATGGAATGGGTCTTGAAGATTATCTGTGCAGCATCTTTATTAAAAAGATATGTGTGTGGGGCCCAGGATTTAGCTCAGTAGCACTGTGCCTGCCTCACAAGTGCAAGGTGCTGGGTTTGATACCTAGTACCACAAAAAAAAAAAAAAGATGTGTGTGTGTGTGTGTAACACACACAAACACAGATGCTTGTATACACATATGTTCAGTTATACACATACAAAAACTTTGTATGGACTTTTTATTTTTTAACTCTACCAGCCTGAATAATTTTTAAACAAGATGGGTGTCATCCTCTCCCAGATATGGCCACTGCCATGCTGTTTTGCTACCATTCAGCAGAGGGAGCTATCTCCCCGCCCTATGTCCCAACATTGGCTGGAGCGTGTGACCGCTGAGTTCAGAAAGGTGGTGACATTGGTCTTCATGCCCACTGGGAAAACCTGGGGACTTTGTGCATCAAGATACACACATTTCCTTGCAAAGTTAAAACTTTTTTTTTCCATTTTAATTTAAATGACCCTTGTGGGAAGTTCTGAATCAATATGCAACAACCAGCAATAACCAGGGAAATAAGGCTTCTCAACTCGACTATCAGTGCAAAAGTACTCGTGTTCCCTGGAGGAGGAAGGGCAATGGCAGATTTTATGCCATGAACCAATTTCTTTACTTCTTTCTAAGCAGTGCCTTTCGTTTTCTTCCTTTCATTCTCTTTCTGATGGGGTTGCTGTGGAATTAAATCTCCTTTCAGAATCTGATAAATATGAGAACACAACAAAAATTTCCAAAGATTTATGTGTCCTCTGAGAAGCATAATCTGGACCTCTAGTGGTTCATACTAAAACACCTCACTGGAGAGGTTTTTTAAAAGTAGGATCATTATTTATTAAGTTATACATGGGGAGGACACCAGCATTAAAAAAAAAAAAGTCTTTATTCACACAGGTGCAGATTAAACCTTCCATTGGTGTGACTTCCTCTGTTAGAAGTTAGATTAAAAATTAGCTTCATTTGGAAAACAACTTGCTACTTCCCTAAGGTCTGTGTGATTAGTAAACACTCAAAACCCTATCCAGAGGCACTGCATGACCAGAAATACAAAGCAAATAGCAAAGATCACAGTGCCTCCTTTTATTTGAGTAAATGTTTACCTGAACTGAAAGAGATGTTGTCAGCGCAATATGGGGCTAATAATTCACAATTTTCAAAAGGTTCTTGTTGTGATTTTCTTGCTCAATAGAGCATAATTTTGTATGACTGAGGGTAAATGTTTTTCTACCTTCAGCTCTTTCTTCTTAAGGAGATCTTTATACAAACTTTTTCTCTGATGTTCTCAAATGTTAATATTTATTTCTGCTTGACATCTCAAACATACCATTGGGTTTTGTCACTCCAATTATCATTAAATTAAAGCCAAAAACTAAGAAACAGAGAACCTTTTTTATAAGGGCTTCTTTCAATATCCTCAGTGTCTATGACTCTATAAACATTCATGGGTTGACTCAATTCAAGGAGCAAGTATGAAGTTCAGTCTCTGCCTACAGAATGCAAATCATTTCATCCAAATTCTCACTGCAAGTGACCAGAAAAATTAAATGTTTTTTCCACCATTGCCCAGCCAATTAACAGCAGAGCTGTGAGAAAAAGCCAGGCTTCTTGACTCCCTGAGTTCCTTCTGCTATTAGTCCTACCTATGGAGGAGCTGTTTCTCAACTGTGGTCCTATTGTTGAGTTGGACTGCGTAATTCTTCACGGAGTTGGGGCAACTGACTATTAGCGCCTGGTAGGGTACTGCAGGACATTTAGCAACATTTTAGGGCTTTACCCCTGGATGTCAGTAGCAGGACCCCCAGCCCACCCTTCAGTGACTCCAGTCAAAAACTTCTCCATTGTAAAATATTACTTAGAGGGTTGAAAACT